GACCCACCTGTGGGTAGTTGTTTCTCCCATAACCTCATGCAGACCTCAGAGCTGGAACTGGGCAGTTGACCATGCTTAGGGAAGTGACCGAAATCACTGGCATCTAGTGGCACTGCTGAGCACCTAATTCAAGTACAGTCACCAGGCATAAAAAGTGCTAATGTCTAATTTAGTTGTAACAACACAAGTGGGAYCAGTAAGATTTAAACCCAAGGGTAAAGATGGACTTCCATAAAGATGAAATTCCAACTCAAGAACTAAGCAGGCCCATAAAGAAAGTTTACACYGTCACTAGGACTGGGAGCATTTCTCTCAAGTTCTCTTCAGCCCTCTTAAATCCAGTAAGCTAGTCAAACATTTAGGAGCAAAACCAAAGGCAATCTTGGGCAATGTTGCCACAATCGGAAGCAAGGAAGAAGTTGACTTGTTTTTGAACTACAATTCCTTGTCCTGCTCCCTCAGTTATATGCACAGAAGTGTGACACCATCACTCTGTGCAGTGAGTAATGGTGTCACTGAGCACTCTTACAGACCACAGGCTGAGAAACACTCATCTAAGCAGCGAGTTCAGGTTGTTGCAGTGTTTTCAAAGGAATAAAAAAAAGCAAGCAGTAAGTTTCCTTGTTTTTCAGTACTGCATGTATGCACAAGTTTGTCCTCAAGTTCTGGTATTTTGCCTCCGAAGCCAACATATATAAAGCCTCCGATAACCTGAACGCTAGACTTTAAAAACAAACTCTATAAACTGATTATATCAAAAACATGACTCTGCCTCAAAGCCAAGTAATACTGAAGGGAACTTACTACAAACTCTGGAAATTAATCATCTTTATCAGGAAGGCAACTCCAGAGCATATGGGCTCAGTCTTACCTCAGCATTTCACCTCCAGCCCCTCAGCAGTTAGCAGGCACAGGAATCCACTTACTGGCATTTCCCTGGTAGATCCCATTCCCACAGCAGACACAGGGGTTGGAAGTGGGGAGGGGTGGGTGGGGAGGAGAGACTGGGGGGATTTTAAACGGGATATTCCCTCCACCCCCTTCACAATTACGTTGTTATATTTCAAAGTAAAACCCAGCATTTTTAGTTACCCCTAGAAACAAAGTGTTTTGTGAAATAGTGCACAGTCCCAGCGAACAAYAACTATTCTTTCTGGCATGCAAATGGGTGCTCAGTGAGCAGAACAAGCTTAAAATTGCAATGCAAAGTGGAGTAATGCCACAGAAATCATAAAGCCACCATCCTCACGATAAACTGGATGCTGTTACGCACTAGAATGCTTAGACAAAATTAACATCAGCATTTGCATGCAAAATGAAACCTTTAATTTAGAACAAGGACTCTCACTGCACAAGAGAATGCTGCAACAGAGCAACAAGAACAGAGGGCTCTGGTTAATGTGGATTTCTGCATGTAACTCAGGTAGCAGATTAATAGCAGCTACACGTTGGCTCTCCTGAGCGCGCTGAGCAGCCTCTCTCCATGGTAGTCTCTAACTCTGACAGCCACGAGATGGAGCCAGCAGTTCTCAGGAAGCGGGGCCTGGGCCATCCCAGAAGGCAGGACTGGGTGGCACACAGAGGGTGCTGGCATGAGGCAGCACACGGGCAGACACCGGGCTRTGTGGATAAAGTCTCTGTCCACGTGTGGCCTGCTGCAGCTTAAGGCTTACCCCTCACTAGTGCTTACGGACTGCGCCGAGGAAAGGGTCCCATTCTGGGCTTTACACATAGCTAGGTAGCACAGTTGCCTCCAGAACCCTCTTCCACTTCCTAAGTAAGGTTTTCATGCATTCCCTTGTCTCTGGAGAAGGTTTATATGAAAAGATTCACTGGAAAGGAGAACTATACTGGAAAGCAGCAGCTCAGCACCACTTAAGCGAGACCGGGGACCGGGCAGACTGCTGCAGTGCCTGGCCAGAGGGGCACCAGTGAGTGCACCTTCCACATCTCACCTGCACGGCAGTGACAGCAGAACCCGCACCCAGCTTGCTGCAAACTGCTCTTCTGAAAGGCAGAAACAGCATTTAACAGGGTATGGGGCTGTCCCAAACAGCCCAATGASCATCACAATTTTGCCTGCATGATTGGAGTTTGTTCATCACAGATCTGTATAGAGATTTTCATTAACAACTCGGAAGATAAAGCAGCAATATGCCTACATGCTATTACTTCTTCCMTGYTATTTGATCACTACAAGTGACCAASGAAAGAGGGAGGAGAGTAACCAACACCTAAACAGTTAGCAAACAGTCTATTCCTGCCAGGCTGTGGGAAATTAAGACGAACTAGTTGGATTCAAACCATTGCAACAGCTCYGTGCAGAGACCAATCCGCAGACCTCTTGTCCAGAAAAGAGGATGGAGACTTCAGTCACCTCCTCCCCTCTCTACAGCTTTTAATATAAATATATTAAAAGTCTGGTAGAGGCAGGGTGGCTCTGGAAACAAAGCCATAGGCCAGCTACCTCAAGAGCTGGGAGATCAGACTTGTTTATAAGAAACAAAAAAACTAAAAACCCCTATCAGGCAGACATAGTGCTTTTTAAAAATTATCAATAATAATAAAAATGAATTGCATTAGCATGGTAAAAGTGGCTACTTTTAGACATGAAAAACATCTATGCAAGCCCAAGGCAAAGCTCTGAAGCCATGGAAAGTGAAAAAGAGAACATGCATTGTAGGTATAGTACACTATAAATAAATAGTTTAGAGGCAGGTTTATTAAACCTTGCTATCACAGTCACTTCCCCTATGCTAAATCTCTTTCTTGGTGTTAGAGATAACACCTTCCTCTCCCAAGAGAAGCACCTGCCATTCCTGTGAAGTGGGGAGATTATGGTGAGAATTAGCTTTTTTTGTCCCTTTCCCTTCATCCAAATAAATCAACAGGAGGTGAACACAGCAACATATTCTTGTAGCAATTAAAGAAAGCTTCTGTCCACATAAGCTCTAGAGGGAGTTGCATTGATAAACAGTATCCTCCTCTTATGGAGGATCAGAGMGCCCTGTCAGATCCCAGCAGTGTGCTAATGTTCAGCAAAGCTTCAAAAAATCACAACCACCACCTAGTTAAACGAGTTTTTCCTCTTACTGCCTTCAAGATCGCTGCTTTGCGCCTTAGGCCTGAAATATTCTGAAGCACATTAGCTCCATAGCACACAACTGGAACTGCAGGGGACTGTTGATACCAGACTGAATTTTAATGCCCAGAAGCGTCTTTCTCAGTCCTCACTAAACTCAGATTTTGCCCAGAAGTTACAATTCAAGGAAATCTCTACAGAAAACCCCTGGCACAGATAGTTGCAGATATTCCTAGTGCTTCATCTGAATGATTATCTGGCAAATTCTCATCCTTTCTACARGGAAGTCAATTTGGCCTCACTCTGGAGTACAACCCACTTCTGAAAGCAGAGCTTCACATAGGACATAGCATCTTACAAGGGTGGCTTGCCCTATGTATAACTGTTTGCTAGAGCACTTACAGAATAGCCCCARCTAAGCCAAATTAAAAGATTACATGCTTCCTGGAGGAAACAGATGACTTTTTAATACTGAAAACATTGCACAAGAACACTCCTTGAGCGTAAGTGCTCCGTCAAGTCTTGCAAGACCTCAGGCTTTATGTATTAGCTACTTGCCTATAGCTCTGCTCTAGGGAGAAGATTTCAGCTTAGATTATAATGTCTTGGATTTTAATTACCTGACACGAAAAGGCTGCTGGAATACATCAGCTTCAAAAAGCTTCCAGTTGTCCCAGCTATGGAGCATGGCAGCAACACACATATATCAAAGCCCTCCTTCATGTGCTCCAACCAGTTTAGTTTAGCAGCTAAAGCTTCTTTTACACAGAACAYAAGGAGTCCCAAATCCCAAAATAAGTTTTTCTGCCAATTTGAGACTGATGTCCAAACAAGCCAGTCCAGAGGTCATTCAAAGATCCCCCAACTCCACTGTCCTCAATTCAGAGGAATAAATGTTGAGGTACATGSACCATGGGGGGTGGAAGCAACCATGTTCCAGCTCAGAGAGCAGTTTTATTGCTTTTCTCATGTTTAGCCCAAAAGGATACTACAATGCTGCCAGATTTAATCTCTAACCTTACTGCTTCTAAAAAGAAAAAAAAAGGGTAAGTAGAGACTACAGAAGAGATGCAGCATCAAGTAATATAATAGCAAGGACCTTGTTCCAAGCAAGTTCCACCTCAGTGATGGAGCTCAGCGAGAGCAGCACACAGGCTATAAGAACACCAACCTCAAGAGGCTGCTCCAAGTAAAATTTCACTTGTCCTATCACCTACTGTAAGGTATTTCACGGAGAAAGAAAAACAAGACAACCACATGGCACACAAGTCTCGGAGCTCTGCACACTGAACTCTGCAGAGTTCATTACTCATAGGGAAATAAGTTTATCCAGTTATTAGACATTCTATACTCCTCCTTAGAGAAGCTTGAACTAATTAAGCTCATGATGAGCTCAACTGTTGTTTAACCACAAAATTAAGGTTTAAGCTGCCTTTTAGTTCAGACCTAAAGGTTAAGTGAGCTGTCGTCTTCTGAAGCAGATCTTCATTTTCTGTGTGCACAACACGCACTCAGCCTTTATCCATGGAAGGTCAAGATGAAGCTTTGCAAAAAGTGTTACAGCTCTAATTGCCCCTGTTAAGTGTCTGAACTGCATCTCATGCACACAGTCTCAAGTGACAAGTTCTACAAGCCAGCAAGCCCCCAGCCTCTGCTTCAACAGCAGCTGGCTGTGTAGTGCCTTGCTAATTATCCCGTTTCAAGAAAATTTACAGAATCGGCTAATGATTCTTTCTGAGCATACAATGTAACAATAACAAAGGAATTTAACTTGACAAGAAGGAAGATTACAGCACCGTTTATTTAGTATAGTTTCCCCAATCCAATGAGTTGCCCGACAAGGAGAACTAGTTATGGAAGACAATGAGTTCATGGTAAGTCCCTGCAAAACCTCAGACCAACAGAGGCTCTAATATCTAACACATTTTACTCTCTCCAAAGTTCAGAGGCAGAATGCACAAGAGCAATCTAGTACATGTTAAAAATTCTTCTCAAGCTTAAGTTACACTACTAAGTACTCAGCAGTATCTGCTACTCCTTCACCTCCAGAGCGAGCAGTATTTGTTAACCTCGTGCTGCAGCGTGCTCATTAAAACACAAAACAAAAACCATTTCCCCCCCTCCCTCCCCAAAGTAACTGCATTTTAAGCATCTGGTACAAGCAAGGTACAGTTACTTCTTTATAAAACTCTTCATTTCTTCTACACAGAAGTCCCTAATTCACTGAGAGACTTCACCATCAGCAGTTACTTTCTGCAATAGCAACAGAAGTTTTTAGTAACTGCACTTCAACTGTAGCAGGACACAGTTCAATAAGCCGATAAGATGATGTGCTAAATACTGATTTCTCTTCCACTTCTAGGCTGGTTCTGTCAATTCAAGTGACCACCATAAAATAACTAACAGTAAAACTCCAAATGTGCTAGGTTGCTGTGCATAGAAACAGTACATACAAAGTTAACAGCAAATAACAGATGTGGCAACTGCTTAATTTCATTTGCTTTTTGACACCGTGCAAGTCGCTAGCCAGCTATTCATTGTGAGGTAGCATGTTTGCCTCAATTCCAGCTCGTGGTTGTGTGATGGTACCCATCTTCCTCCAAGTATTCGTGTTCAGCAAGATGAGACACACAAGTTCCCATTTCTCCGACATGATCACAAAGATTGCAATATAAACAARAGAGATGATCTCAACACTCGCATTTTCACTAGTCCAGTACCAGGGAGGAGAATGATGATTGATGGAGAATGACTTAAAGTGAATCTAGCCACAATATGTGGAAAAACCCAGGACAGCATTTCAAGGAAATGGTGGCAATACACTTCCTTTCAAAGACAGTCTTGCAGTTGTTTTTTCACCCTCACACCGCACTAGTTTAAGAATGATAAAACAAGGAATGCACCTAGCCAGTATTTAAATACCAATTGTTGCATTACTTAAGTCTGAATCGAGTCCATAGGCTTGATTCATGAACGCTGTATTGACTCAGCTGAACAGGAACTAAGTTAACTTGCATGTTGAGTTGCCTCTCAAATGTCAGTTGCTATTTATTAAGTGAAGGATGAGGAGAAAAGCTGCAGATTTAAGACATATTAGTGACCACTAACAGAAGATGGAGACTCAAACCCTTACCAGGTGTCACCTAAATTGTCTGCAGTTTGTAGCAAAGGGCAAAAACAGTGAAAACTGTTTGAGCCCGAACAGCTGTGCTCGTTAAGGCCAAKAGAGGTTCAAGAGAAAAACATTCAGAAAAGCATTAAAATATAGCAGGAAGTTAATATGAAAGTACTTGGCATAATCAAACAGAATTATTGTAGTTCTGAGACTCAGTATATATATCTAGCCTTGAAAGACACTGGSAAGACAGAGCCCATTTCCATGTAAGTAGGTATAGGTTTTGTTGGTTACCAGAAATGGCTTCCAAGTTCTGTTTTCACATTTTGAAGGTGTGATATGCAAAGCAAGAAATAAGGGAGTCAATACAGACTTCCTTTCATGAATCCAGCCCTATATCCTTAGTGGTATCTTATCCATGCCACCTGTAGATATTAACAGTTCCCAAGCATCACAGTAAGCAACATCTTTCTTTAAAGCTTTTCTTGTTCTTGCCACTTTTCTTGCCATTCTTGTCTTTGTTTTCTGACATTTTCTTTGCTCTGATTTCTCTCATTAGATCAAAGAATACCTGGAGGAGGGAAAAAAAAGATATAAAACAAGTTCTGCTAGCAGAAAAACAGATGAACACTGTATTAAGCAAAAAAACCACAGAACACACAATATATACCATGACAGACTGACACAGCTAGACAGAGATGCCCACAGCAAACTCAACATCACAATTATGAAGGGAACAGGACAGTCTTACCTGGCTACTAAATCCCTCAGCAGCCTGTTTCAAGAAGCTTTACTAAAGTATCATTCTTGTTGGAAAACTTGTTGTATGGTTGAGGGCTCACAAGAACTTTTGTCCCCAAAACACCCCCAGCCAAGCATCTGATGTGTTAAACAAGAGAGGTGAATCTAGTTCTGCCCAAGTACTTAAGAGCTAAGACTATACTAGGTAGTGCCCTGCTTGTTTTACAGATGGGTGGTGCCAGTAACAACATTATGGCACAGAAAATACTTTTTATAAAAGATATTCAGAGAAGAGCAAATACTCAGATGAAGTTTCACTAAAAACTAAAGACTTAACAGAAACTGCAGATCTGATATCACCGGAAAGGTTCAACAGCTATTTCACTGCAGAGTGGTATGGGGAAGCTATGGTTTTTTAGCACTGCAGAAGAGCAAGAGTTTCATTTTGCTCTACAGACCTAGGCTTTAAGTGGGCAGCTACACATCTCTTGGATACTTGGCAACAAGACCTTGCTACTGATCAGAAATAAGATCCCTTTCTCACATTCAAAACCTTCTCCTAGAAGTGTTTTGTTGTGCTACACTGCTGACATTGTTGTGATAGTGCCTGTGAATATATGGCTTAAAGAAAAGGTCTAGAACACCACACCTTTCTAAACTGATGTTAGGCTAGGAGACCACAGATATACAGCCGTATACCTGCTAATCTACTAAACTGGATGCTTTTCATCAGTTAAGAGGTGGGCTAAACACCTTCTGGTTATATTGAACAGCTCAGGTATTTCTATTTTCCCCTACTGTTCCATTTTTTGGAACTGTCTGAACTTTTAGTGATTCCCCAACAAGTCAGAATGTTTCTTCCCTAGATTTAAGTCACGTCACATCTTTTATAGCCAAAGGTTTCAAGAGTTATCAATATGCCATTTTAGCCAGAGATAAAGCAGTCGCATGTTTTCACAAGGTACCTCATGTGCAAACAGCACTTTTACCAATAAATTAATAGAAACTAAGAAATTAGCAGCAGTTTACCAATTAGTTACATGTGCAGTCTGGCTAGTCATATGCATTCTTTGTTCCAAGAGAAAGGCATTTGAACTGGTAAAGTTCAAACAGATGCACATTACCAGACCAAACATTGGGACTCCTTAGCAGACCAAGCAGCAAGAGTCTCGTTGGGTTTTGGTGAAACAAAGGAGACACTCTTTCCAGAGGCTCCTAACTACACTGAACAAGGTGGAGAGGTACAAACCCCTTTGCTTTCTAACTGATTCAACACTGAACAGTCAGCTCATTTTCTTCAGAATACTCCCCCAAAGCAAGGTTAAGGCAAGAAGTCAGCAGCAGAAGCATGCTGATGATAGTGATGAAACCTGGACCTACATGGACAGGCGAAAAAATGAGAAAAGGGCAGCAAAGAGTTTTCTGTAATTCACTATAGTCTTAACAAAAGCAAAAAAATATGCAACACCAGCCAGACCATGTAGAGCCCTGAAAGGAAAACAGGATTTCACAGGCAGCTATAGCCAATACGATTGCTATTTAAGAGGACACAGCTTATTAGATGACACCTGTGGTCATCCCACTCACTWCTGAAGTCCTTAAACTTATCCACCCTTATCTATTACTGCAAAGCTGGTTCAGATGCAAACACCTAAAACAAGAAAACTTTAACTTACAGGGGTTCTCTAGCTCCTCTAAACTAGGCACACAAGCTTACATAGTTCATTGAGTAATTGTTTTAATAATCTACACTTCCAGAAACTCAAGTGTGGACTTGCTTCAGTCACATTTTAAAAACAAAACTCACCCCACATACACACAAGAATTAGTCACTCAGCTACTGAACAAGTTAATGACGTTACTGTAGAAGCAGTCAGTCTTTTGTCTTACCTTATCTACATTTGCTCTCGTTTTAGCAGAGGTCTCTACGTACTGCACACCCCACTCCTCTGCCTTGCTTCTAGCCTCTTCTACAGGCACTTGTCTGCGCTCTTCCAAGTCGGACTTGTTTCCTACTACCAATAAAGGGATTTTATCCTCTTCAGCCTTCACACGGAGAATCTGTTCCCTAAAGCATGAGGTATTCAAAATAAAGATATCTGTTAGAAATATTAGGAAAAAAAAGTAGCTTATCAGGAATAGATTATGTRGTCTGCATACATCTGGTGTTTACAAAGGCATTTAAAGATTTCCCAGTTAAATACACACTTTTAGACAATTATGAGTTCACTGTACTATCACTATGTGCTTTACACTAATAGAAGGTTCATTTTTCCAGAATGGTTGTTTCACCATTAGTTGGAATGTTTGTTACCCAGGCTTTATTAAAGAACAGTTGTACAGCAGAACAGCAATTCACAGCAGGAGTTCACATCTGAATGTGAACTAAGTGTCACATCTGCCAAGTTTTAGCATAATGCTTAGTGACATTCTTCAAGCTATATCCCACCTCCATATAAGCCTGGGAAGCATCAAGGCTTTGTGAAGGCAGGAAGTCGGGAAAAGCATAAGTAATCTGTAAAATTAATACAGGCTACCCATGCATCCTAAGGGGAGAGTTACTGAATAGTGATAAACTGGACTAGCAAGCTTCCTTCTCTGAATCTCCATAAAATATGGAATTAATACTAACCAGGGTACTCTTGTTCAGTCCTAACAAACCTGCCAGCACCTGAGCTATGCTGCATGTAAGTCTCAGTCAGAAGCCAGACTGGCACATGCTGCTGTTCATGCACCCTGGGAAGGCTAGACTCATGCACTTGCTCTTAGTTTGCCTTTCATTTCCTTATGAACAGGAACCGAAGTAGACAGGGTGCTACCCACCTTTCACATCACACTGGATTTAACCACTTTGGATGCTGGCATTTTCTGTGCACAAAATAGCTGAAGGAATTTAGAGTGCAAAATACAGCATTGAGACCAAAGCCAACAATCCACTGTTCCAGCCAATGGTACCTTCATACACCCTGAGACTGCAGAGGCATCAAAAGCAAGCACTGAATGCACTGAGGGCATCACTGAAAGGCTTAAAATACACTCACAGTYCAACATTCAACTTGTTCATAAGCATTTTAGAACTTGGATGATCAAAAATTCTGATGAATAGTTTAGCCCATGGCATTGACGACTCCTACATCTATTCCTCCTCTTCCCTGGAAAAAAAAGGGGGTTTCCAAGCAGCCAATTCTTMGATTTCTTAGCAAAAGTTACATGTAGCTAATTTCATTCCATGTTTACTTCTGAACTATTGAAGAGTAGGAGATTCTCCATCTCAAAGCTTCCTAACTTACCTGCAGGCCWCTGCCTGGTATTTTACTGTTTGGTTGTTGCTATTCGTAGCCTAGAACTAACAAAGTTCACCTAGTTACGGTCTGGGCAGGAGGGTTGAGTGGGAAGAGACTGCCAAGATAAACACTCCTTTTCATCTCAAGGTTAAGCCCAAGGCTTAAAGCTTTGATTTTGCTTAAACATGCAGGCAAAAACTCAAGTTGAATACTTCCAGGAAGCATCTCATCCTTTTCCTGTTTTTGAATGGCCTTTCCTTCCTCCTGCATTAGAAAGAACGCTGAACACTGATTTTTGTAGCCCAGAAGTCCAACTGTTTAGTTCCTTCAGTTTCTGCAAATAGGAGGAATAGGACAGGATAGTCCTATTCTAGTGTTCCCTATAAGGGGGCCACCCTCCTGCAACCTGGCAAAAGTCACTACACAGCTAAGGAATACATTCACATGGCTAAGATTCAGTAGTTTCCTAGCATCACTGGAACAATTTAAAACATCTAGAACCTAGACTTCCCCAGAGCATGGAAAAGTTAGACCTTGCTTCTTGGAGGGGAAAAAAAAGTCCTAGAATAAGTCTAAGTGCTAGCATTGAGCAAGGTAGACACTTCCTATTAGCTTACACCACTAATGCTAAGTGAACATAAGCCAGGCTGATAATTTAAGGACTTCTGGCAGGCATAGGAAACACTAACACTTTCCTTATGCTTTGGAAAGTCTCACTCCAGGTTGTACAGCTGTCCCAGCAAATCTCTGGATTACTCTCTCCGCTGCAGCAATAGCTATTAGCCAATGAAGGTCAGACCATCTCCCCTGAATCTGCCCACATGAGCTGAGATGAGAGCACTGGATTAACTCCCCACCCCAGTTCTCTTTCATGCCACGCAAGCCATTTCTGTACTCAGTCTGGTACAGATTTTTACATCAGAACAGTTAATCCTGGGAACAAAACYGAAGCATTTACTGCTACTGCTTGTCTTTCTAGGAATACGCCTGCCTACAATAGCGGCACTTGGCTGCCAACCCTTGTTTGGCACCAAGCCATACCTGAGAGTGAAGGCTAATCCTTCCTTTCCTTAGAGCACCTGCTTCCAGCAGTCAGCAACAGTGTCTGAAATCTGGCCAAAAGGTAGACTTAATTCCAGAAGTACTGCTTGAAGATAATTAAACTCCACATTTACCAAGAGTGAAGAGTTGGCTGGAGTGCACATGTTCTAGGAGTCCAAGAATCTGTTACTTGCCTCAAGTTGCTGCTGGCATGAGGTACTCCTCAGTTAAATGCATGAGGACAACTACAGCCAGAGGCTACATATAGTGGTTTTAGTTACCACTTGTTTGAGAACAGAATTGTAGGCCCRGCACCTTTATTGACCAAATGGGAAATGACAAAAGCTGAAGGAGTTGTAGTTTAAGAAAAGCTCTGTCAGAGCCACATAGGACTTAAATACAACCCACCACCACACTTACCTGAACTCTGCTGTTGCTGTAAAGGATTCATGCTCTGTTATTGAGAAGACTAGAAGAAACCCTTCCCCGCTGCGGAAGTAGTTATCTCTGATGGCTGCATAATCCTCTTGTCCTGCTGTGTCCAGAATGTCTATCTGAACTTCTTCACCATCCAGAACTACTTTCTTTCTGTAGCTGTCAGCCTTAGTAGGTTCATAGTCTTCTACAAACTGATTAGCACGAAACAAGAATTAGTTTAACACTTACTGTTCAATGGCACTCAGTATTTTCCTGCATCCACTCTTCTTCCTAAATTCCTCAAGGCCTTTCCATAGTTCAGTTACCTACCAAGTGGCATCACTGAATTTGACTATAAAGTACTTAAGCACTTAATACTTCAAAGAGCCTGCCTAGTCAAGAAAAAGTCTTTGCTAGATGCAACTCTGTTCAGCAACTTCAACACAGTTTAAAGGACAAAGGAACATCTAGCATAAGCTGTCAGCAACCTGGTACTGTACCCACTTCAAGAATAAGGCACTTGTGAATGTCCCAAATGTCCCCTCTATGCACTCAAACACATTCATATTCTGCATGTCATTTGAAGACACTGCTCCTTCACTAGTGAGCAATTCTGTCACTCTTGGCCAAAGACTTTCCCAGAGGACACACTTCCCAGATTCCTACATCCTCCTCTGACCAGCCATGTCACCAGGTCTCTTGCAGCTTACATTTGGTCCCACTAGGCTCCCACCAGGTTAGCCTAGTAAGCAGTAGCACTGCRCTTTACAGAGGCTGAATCGAGCTTACCTCATCGTACATAAACTGGAGAGTGAGTGCAGATTTGCCTACGCCTCCACTGCCAACCATGATCACTTTGTGGAGGGCCAAGGAACTCTGGTTCTTGCTCTTGCTGGCTGCCATTGTCCTCTTCTCCACAGATGTTAAGTGTCAAGAAACCAATCAGATCTGCAAAGAGAGGGGAGAACAGTCAATGTCCATGACATCACTGATGGCATCATAGTAATTTAAGGCAAACTACCCCACTACTGTTAAAAGAACAGATTAAAACTCCGAGTAGTAGGGTGTTCAAATATATTTAATACATCAAATACATCAAAATATTCAGTTTGTGTCACTCACATCTAAGTATAAACCAGTTATTGGAACCAATACCCCCTGTTCTGGCAACAGGGCCACCAATACAGACAAAGACTTGTCACAGAAGCTACTAATCGAACAAAGAGCTGCTATTTGTAAATCCAGCTTCGGTGACTGCTATCTAGACAAGKTTTTCTTGAAAAGAATTTCTTCCARCATCATAAAATTAGTTCTATAGTTCCTGTTATAGGACTTTATATCCTTCTGAAGTACTTATGTGAATACAGCTTAGTTTCAACCTAAAAACAGAGCTATATCTTACATCTACTTTTAGTAGAAAGATGACTTTAGATCTCCTCTACACAGGAGTAGAAAGAGCAGAGAGATACAGTAAATTTTGGCAGAAACAAATTGCAGAAGCATGTAGTGGAAAGTCTTATGACATGACACTTGCATTTGTTTCATGCCGTTCCTTCCTTTTGATGTTGCAAGTCTTGCAGTTAAGAAGGATTTCTTGAAAGARAAAGAAAATCCCCTCAGTTCCCATTCTTCTGATGCTACAAATAGTAAACTACTGCTCTGCCCTACAGAGAAGCTTCCATAAACAGTTACTTTTTAAACAAATCTTTCTCATTTGTGTCATGCAAACCAAGTATTTAAGTGATGGAGACCTGTTTTAAAGTATTAATGCATTTTGGGAGAGTAGCTGGAAACAGCAGCCCAGAAAGATAAATATCAACCACCACCCTGATAAGCACAGAACAGGGAACAGCAGCTCTGTAACAGCAGGCTGGGACAAAAGCAGAAGCGATAATGCACCAAAATCCCCAGCCAAGATGCATCACCAGTCCTGAATGCCCCAGCTGAGAAATAAACACACGCATGATCCCCAGAATTGCAACTGCTACGTTACAGATGCAAGGATGGTGGCACTTGCGTCCTCACAGCAGAACAACCAAGGGCCCTGCCACAGCAGCATGTTCCAACAGGGACAGCAGACCACTCGGGTGACATTTGATGTGGAAAACAGCAACATAAGCCGGGCTTTAGAGCACCACCAGAAACACAAACTAGAGTGCAACATACCTACTAAGTCCTCATTAACCTGGACATCATTTAATCTAAAAGACACTACAATCACCATATTGCACCAATTTTACTGGGTTCAAACACAGAAGCCTAGGGTAGAAGTATTATTTTCTGAAAGCCTTCAAGCTAGCTAGTTGTCCAAAACAAAAATTATGAAGGGGCTAAGATGCTGAGCTATAAGCAAACTACRGAATTGTTTAGGTTGAAAACAATCTCTGGTGTTGTGTGGTTTAAATTAACTCCTTCCAAGTAGAAGGCCCTAAGCAATCAATTTTTGTCCACTTGAGTCGAGAATGGAGATTCCATGACTGCTGGGCAGCCTATTCTCATGTTGCACCAGAATTACCATGAAGTTCCTTCCCTTGTTATGACTTGATCTTCTGAAAAAGCAGAGCTCCAGAACTTGCAGAATTAGTGCATACCACACAAGAACCAACACAGCAATCAAGAAATGACCTCCAGACAGTATTTTCAAGCGTCTGACTTAAAATATTCTGCATCCTGAAATGTTGCAAGTAACACCTGCCTGCTACAAACACTTGCAGAGTAATGCAAATAAATCATTTTTAAGCGCTCATCCCAGGATAAACATTGCTAAGTGGAAACAGGCATTTTCCTCTGGTAACCATCTATTTCATTATGCAGCAGATCTCTCATCCAAGACATTGCTTAAGTACAAAACAGAAGGTTACAGAAATGGGAATATAGAAGTGAGAAGTGATCTCAATGCAACCATGACTGTTCTTTACCCTCAAGATCCTCGTAACAAGCATCCTACAGCTGCATTAATTGCTAGGTGATCTCTAATACAAAGGCTTCATGTTAGCACTTTCCTGGGATATAGGCTTTATGCTACTGCCCAYGATGTGGACTTGATCTATCTGATGTGTCAACAAGAGAGGTAGAACAGACTATGGCTTCAACACTCAAAAAAGTACTACRCAAGTGCAGTATAGAAAGATTTACTAACAGTTTAATTAGAACATAGCAGCCTCTTCCTTCCCATCAAGACAGATAACATTTAACCTTAGTATCTGGCCATATTAAACCACTTTTGGGGTAAAGGGCTGTCCAGCTTGAATCAGCACAAGCTCTCCAYAGTGCTAAATGCTGCAAGAGAATATTAAAACCCTCTTTGGCCATCCCACCTCAATATGGAGAAAAGATGTCAGAGTTGGCCTTTCTTTCTGTGTACAATAACAACATCTCACAGCCAGAGCTAAACAGTAAACAAAAGCATCTGACAGCATGTAAATATTGAAAGTTTGAGCACACCTAAGGCTAGCTTTGGTAGTCAAGATACTTGACCCTAACATTCAGTTTCCTGAAGAGTCGTTACTAGTGCTAATTGAATCCTTTAGATTGATACTATATGAACTGTCAAGTAAGGCCAGTGAAACAGGGTCAGGGCCCAAGYCAGTGCTGTATTCCCAAATTCTGGAAGCTTCACACGAACAGCAGCCCTTCTCTGCTGGCAGGGGAGATACAGAAACACAGTCCTCCTCCTGGCCTCWAGAGTTGGGCAAGTAATGGTGTAAAACAGCAGCAGAAACACAGAACAGCCARGCAGTACAGAGCAAGACAAGGCTGTGCCCGACAGACCAGTATGGCACTGGACTGACAGGCTTACAGGRCAAGAGACTAAAAGCACACCACCAATTCTGTAAGGGACTTAGTTGAGCATTAATATAGCAGCAAGAAGTTAATACTTTGTTTACTTGCTTCTCTSCATTTGCAGTCCAAGAACCTATTTACGCAGCAGTGTTCAAAGCTCTCATACTACTGTTGCTTGAGGTTAGACTCCCTAACAACACAAGGGGAAGCTCCCTCCTGAACCATCTTCGGTTAAGCAAAGAAGAGTTTCTCTGCTCTGTAGATTAAGTATCCTTGAGCTAATCAAGATGTTGACATTAACTCATCTTTACAGGAACAGTCTTGTGAAATCCAAGCACCTCTTTCATAGAAGAAAGAAAGCCTAGAAGAGCCAGAGATAAGCACAGCTGCCATTAAAGCATGATTCAATTCCCTACAGTTTTTCCTTAAGCCTAAGTGACCTCTTGCTTCATCTGAGGATAGCAGGTTCTCAGTACAAGCTATCAGAAGAGCCTGCTCTGAGCAGATCTCCAAACATGTCATTTAATTTTGTGATCAAAATTCCATCCTCTCCAACCTMATTCTTTACTTGCTGAGAAAGGAACAACTCAGACAGGATCTACCTTCCTCTGACTGTTGTTAAGGTTAGGTCTTCAGCTCAATCTATTATTCTACCCTCAGGTTTAGTGACACCATCCCGAAACTGTGGCAAGTGTATGACCTGCAAACCACCTGATGTTCATTCCCTCAGCCTGATTGTTTCAGAGCTGTGTGAATAGTAAAGGGCTASAGGCAGTTGGGGTCAAAGCATTATTACTGCCCTGGCACAGTTATGAAGCGACAACTAACTACTCACTTTATCTAGGTTAGCTGACAGTTTAAGCCCCTGGACTGAATAGCTGTACTATTTGATAGTAAGTTACACAAAGCCATTATTTACCATACAAATTCCGTGATGCGAGTGAGATGCTCCTCAGACCAAGAAATGAAGGCTGTACCAACAGAATTTAGCCACATGAAGCACAGCAAGATCTATGATCAAGCCACAGTAGTTGTTTTGATTTTAATTTCTGAGAATGTGTACTTGGCCAGCAGGATTAATTCTACCAACAGGTTTTGCACCCAAACCATGCCACCCTCAACAAACCTAAGCCTAATGTTCAGGTCACAGCCTCTGCAGGTTAACTAAGGTCTCTTACTCTGAAGGAATCAGCACAATAGTTTCATTCTTCTCTAGTCTCTAGAAACAGAGCACTTCAAAGCATTTGTTTACAAACAGCCCCATAAACTCCAAATTAAAGCATTAGTTTGTCAGTTTTACCATCTCCTCCTCAATCTAAACAGTTAAATGATTTCCAGAAGATTCGGCCTAAGTTTCGTTTAGCCAATGGCAAAATTCAGAGAGCCTATTGAATTACTATCTATATTTTGAACTGGGTTATACCTTTGCGTCCTTTTTATTTCATCTCATTTAAGGCTCACAGTTGTATAGTCATTTAAAGGAAGAGAGTGAGAGGCACTGCTTGTCACCTTACCAAAAAACAGCCCATTTTGCTAACATTCTCCCAAATCCACAGACAGAAGGAAAAACATTCACTAAGCGTGCTATTTTCTAGCAAATATGCCATTAATATAGTGAGAAAGCACTCTAGACACGTCAAGGCTCTAATTGGAATCACTTCCAGTTTTGCCAAATTTGAGATTCAAAAAACTGAAATAAAGCTCTAAACTAGCTCAAAATTGCTGAGATCAGTCCTTGTTCTCTCACTGTGCAGCTGATATCTTCAGGCATCTCTTTTCATTGCTGCCCTGCCACTGAAAGCAGACATTCTTTGGCTTTTAGAACAGGCCTCTGGAAGCCCAAGAGTCCAGTAGCTTGACAGAGGAGCTTTGTTAAACCTTTCTGATACCTATTTTTAAGAAGAATAAAATCTGGGTATTCARCTTATTAAAGACTTAAATATGATGTCACCCAAAGCAAGCACAGAGAGGGCTGGTTTTTGTTTATTTTGCAACAAGAGCTTGGYGATTCTCGCTTACCAGAATACGAATTAGAGGCTTTGGGGTGTTTGGTTCTGCGATAGGCATGAAAACACCAGCAGAAATTCCCTAGATCACACAACTAATTAACAATATCACTGAGCCATGAACTGCAAGAGCTCCTCAGCTATTTTGAGGTTATCCTG